GGACATTCCTTTGACCTCTATGCACATTCAGCCACTAGATATCCTTTTGGCTTTTATCCTAGTTGCTTCATTGATTACAGAGCTATTTGTGCTTGTCCCTCATTCTTCCCTAGTACTTTATTCAGTGCTTTCCTGTCTGGGATTCTCATTCCAGCATTATCTCATTTTGGATTAGTTCATCATAGGATTTTCAAGTAAGAAATATTTAGCAATGGTTTACTGCACAATACTAGCAGCTTGAAAAGTACTCTGCCAGTGTTCCCTTCCATTATTGCTGCTGCCCAGTTAGGAGTTTCTCTGTCCTCGTTTCAATTTGAATGATCTGTTTCCTTATGCTGATATGACTGTTAGCAGTGAAGAGGATGGATGTATCTCAGCTTGTCAGCAGGCTGCATGGGACCCTACAACCTGATGAATTTGTTGCCTCAGCTTTGACCATTCCACTTTGGGTGACCCTGCTATGAGTTCAGAGTAGTAATGGGGTCTAGCCTTCTGGCATTGTTCTCAGCGTCTGTGACACTCCTTTCACTAAGAGAGGAGGGGATCCAAGAGAGAGGAAAATAGAAGGAGAACATTAAAAAAGGGAGAAAGGATAGTATTGTATTTTTGTGAAGTCCAAAGAAACTAGTGTTTCCCCCTTAAAATAAGTTATGATTCTCACATCAACTGAACAATTTAATCTCATTGTTTTGAGAGGGATTTGGCTTACGTATGTGTTGTCTTCTAACATTGTAGAATAAATCTCATGAGTACTAGACCAGTGCTCTATAGTTATACTTTGTATTTGGAATGAAAATTGATAGAATTATTGGCCAGTACAAAAATGCTAAAAGTAACTTAGACTTTTTTTTTAAAAAAAGGGTAGAACTAACGTCTCTCTAGATTTGTGCCACTGTTGGGGAGTACCATAAGAGAGACTGTGTTGTTATTAAAATGTAAACAGCTCCTGAAATCACACTTTTGTCAGTATCTAAAATACAGCTAGAATTCATTAAGTCATTGGTATTCTTGCTCAATCTTATAAATGGATCTAGGATGATGGATATATTAATCGTGTTGCTCACTGCTGGAGAAAGGTTGAAGCATCGACAGTGTCTTCAGGCTTGGGATGTAGTATCTGTTTTGGATTTCAGCGGGTCAGTAAAGAGGACATAAAAGTATTTGGAGTACTATGGTGTGCCATGTTATGGTAGGGCAGGAGAGATCTTTAGAGCTAAATAAAGAGTATTTTTACCTGTGGAAACAATCATTCTACTGACTATAGTGGACTATTCTCTGCACTAAAGTCTTCATAACTTTCCACTATAATTAGGGTGACTCTATCACTCTTAACAGTCATTTATGTGAAGGAGATGTTCTATTGGCATAGTTATTTAAATAGCTGCTTCCTTGGCTGACTTTTTGTAACACAGCTTGTCTCTTGGTTCTTTAATATGCTGGGACAGACAAGTTGTCAGATAAGCATGTAACTTCTGTTTCCAGGACTGGACTGGTGCAAGTTGTTTCTGTTTTCATTTTAGTAAAAATGTTCATTTTGCTGTGGATTTTCCTCAGTGAAGTTTTTCTTCTATTTCAGGTGCTTTTGTTTGTATGCATAGGGCTTCTGAACCCATCTGCAGAATGAGCAGCACAATGTCGTGACATTGGAATTCTGGTAAGTATCTCAGTAGTGAAGGAAGAATATGAAACAATAACTAGTTGCTGAAATCACATTAAAATCTGATTGCTTAGTTATGACATGTGGCAGTAACAAAAGAAACATGCAAATGGAAGTAGCATAGGTGCCCTGAGGGAAAGAGCTTAGCACCTAGGACTGAGGGCAACTTTCATGGATTGTTTCATGTGAGATGATACACTCAAATAAGTGGATGCTAATGTTATGTGCTCTGTTCAGCATGCTTTGAACAAAGATGTGTGTATTAAGCAATTCAGAATCACTACTAATGTTTTGGTCAAGAGAGAAGAAAATGGACTTAAGTTTTTCAGTAGATAAAAAGGTGGAATACGTATATATTATATCTTGTTTTCCACGTTTCTTGGGTAGCATTACTTCTGTTCATTCCACACATTGTACAGCGGTGCCTCGCATAGCGAGGTTAATCCGTTCCGGATTAACCTTCGCTATAGCGAAACATCGCTAAACGGAATAAAAAAAGCCATAGAAACGCATTAAACTTCGTTCAATGCGTTCCTATGGCTTGAAAACTCACCGTTCAGCGATGTTTCTTCATAGCGCCGCCATTTTTGCGCCCTCATTAAGCGAGGGTAGGGCGCGAAAATGCGGCGCGGACCTTCCGGCGGCCATTTTGGAACCGCCGATCAGCTGTTCTCCCCGGCTTTGTTGTGCGAAAATCGCTAAGCGAATCGCTTAGCGATCATCGCACACCGAAAAAACCCCATAGGGGCCATCGCAGAGCTAACGCTCCAGCGATGGCCCAGAGTGCCTCGTTAAGCGATTTCATCGCTCAGCGAGGCACTTGTTAAGCGAGGCACCACTGTATTTTAAAATATAATTCCTCACATCATACTTTGAAAATTTATCAAGTACAGTGGTGCCTCGCTTAATGACCGCCCCGGTTAACGACGAAATCACATAGCGATTTGGTTTTTGCGATCGCAAAAGCGATTGCATTGCAGTGTTTTAAATGGGGAAAAAATCGCTTTGCGATGATCAGTAAGCTGTTTCGCTTACCAATTTTTGCATAGCGATGTTTTCCCAACAGCTGATTGGCGATTCCAAAATGGCCGCCGGGGAAAAACATGGCTGCCCGCTTTGTTTTGGGACGGATTCCTCGCATAATGGGCAGCGAAAATAGCTGCCGTATGGAGGATTTTCGCTTAAAGGTAAGTTTTTTGCCCATAGGAACGCATTGAAGGGGTTTCAGTGCATTCCTATGGGCTTTTAAAAATTGCTTAGCGATATTTTCGGTTAGCAGCAATTTTTGCTGCACCGATTAACATCGCTAAGCAAGGCACCACTGTATTCATATTTGATACCACCTATAAGAAGAGAGGGGACGTGGTGGCGCTGCGGGCTAAACCGCAGAAGCCTGTGCTGCAGGGTCAGAAGACCAAGCAGTCGCGGTTCCAAAATGGCCGCCGGGAAAAAACATGGCCGCCCACTGTGCTTTGGGACGGATTCCTCGCATCCTGGGCAGCGAAAATGGCCGCCGTATGGAGGATTTTCGCTTAAAGGTAAGGTTTTTGCCCATAGGAATGCATTGAAGGGGTTTCAATGCATTCCTATGGGCTTTTAAAAATTGCTTAGCGATGTTTTCGGTTAGCAGCGATTTTTGCTGCACCGATTAACATCGCTAAGCGAGGCACCACTGTATTCATATTTGATACCGCCTATAAGAAGAGAGTATAAAAATCGATATAATGGCCAGAATTCTACTGATGTTTCTGTAAGACTTACATAGCTTGATGTGGCTGATGTGGTGCCTGGGCACATCTTACGTGTGCATGCCTGGTCATTTGCCTGACTGTGCAGCCAAGTTGCACCCTGGCTGTTCTTAATTTAGGTGCTGCAAGTTACACAATCCTTACATGAGCATCAGATGGATTCTGGTTGACACAAGTTCAATATTAATGGTTTTTCCTATTGGATCTTAATTGTAAGTTTCAGTTACGTTGTTATTTCTGACTAGTACCTTGTCTCAATATTTTAACTAAAACAATATAAGAAACTAACATTAAAAGACATGCTATATGTAGACTATTGCATGGAAATTATTCACATTCACTTTTTCTAAGATTTGTTTCAGAAAAAATGCTCAGTATGTAAACTGCTTATGCAACCTGTGATTTTTTTTCATTACTATTATTTAAAATATGTCATGAGTGTGCATAACGATGCAGCAAGTTCAAATATTCAACTATACATTGGTAATTGACATCTGGTACTTTGGGCTCTGGAAGAGAACTTTGTGGCTACCATGGAATGAATGCCAGAAAGACAGATAAGTGTGCCCTAGATGAAATCAAGTCTAAACTCTCTCTAGAAGCAGAAATGACTAAACTGAGGCTATGAAGTGTTGGGCTCATCATGTGAAAACAGAAGTAGCTGGGAAAGATGATAGTACTGGGAAAAATTGAAAGCAACAGAAAGAGGGAAATAAAACATGAGACTGAATAAAGTAGGCCACAGCTTTGAGTTTGCAAACATTCAGCAAGACAGTTAATAACAGAACATTGTGGAGGTCACTCACAGGGTCTTCAGTGTCTATATATGAATACTAAGAGTATGAGAAACAAGCAAGAAGAACTGGAAGTCTTAGTTCAGGAGAGTAAATATGACTTGATAGGGATAACTGAAACTGCCATGGCTAGAATAAAGGAATTGAAAGATACTAATTGTTTGGAAAGATTAAAAGGAGAGATGGAGTCACAATGTATGTCAAAAACGCATGTTCCTGCACAGAAATACAGGAGGATGAGCTTGGTTGTCCCATTGAGAGCATCTGGATTAATATAATTGGGGTGAAAAACAAAATAAACATGGTAACTGAAGTATACTACTAGCTACCCAATAAAGAAGATGTGGATGAAACCTTTGAAAAACAAATTGTAAGAATTTCAAAGAGACATGATGTAATGGAAGATTTCAATTATCCTGTTATCTGTTGGGAGACAAATCTGTGAAATACGGACCTTCCAAGAAATTCCTGCCTTGTGTGGCTGATAATTTTGTCCTACAAAAAGTGGAAGAAGAAACCAGAGGGATAGCTTGATTCTAACCAGTAGAGAGATGACTTAAGAAAAAGTGGCAGTAAGGGGAATTCTGGGGGAAAGTAGTCATATTCTTCAGTGGTCCCTAACCTTGGGAAATCCAGATGTTCTTGGACTGCAATTCCCAGAAACCCTGGCCAGCATAGCTAGTAGTGAAGGCTTTGGGGAGTTGCAGTCCAAGAACACCTGGGTTACCCAAGGTTATGAACCACTGTTCTACTTGAGTGCTTGATTTCAAAGGAAATAAAAGCAAAGTGTAGCTGCATAAATACACTGAATTTTACTAAAGTAATTTTAATACTCAGAACAATGATAGGTAAGGGTCCCATAGCAGTATATTCTAACAGGAAAAGGAGTCCAGGATGGATGGGAAATTCTAAAGGCACAACTACAAACAATTCCAACAAGAAAAAAAAGGTGAGGGACAGCAAAAAAACAACAACAAAAAACAATGTGGGTAGGCAAAAAGCTCAGAGAGGACCTGAAAACACAAAAAAGGCACCTGTAGGAAATGAAAGGAAGGCCAGGCTAAGAAAGAAGAGTACAGACAAATAGCAACAAAAATTACAGGAATGGTGTTAGGAAGGCAAAGGCTGAGAATTTGCTTAGGTTAACAAGTAATGCTAAAAGCAACAAAAACATTCTTCAAGTGCATGAACAGCAAAAGACAGAGAAAAGAAACAGTGTTTCAGCTATTCAGTGGGTATGGAAAAATGATAACAGACAACAAAGAAAAGGCAGAAGAGCTCAATTCCAACTACAGCTTGGTCTTTTCCAAAAAGACTGTCTATGACCCTCCAGGCAAATGTGAAACACAAAAGGAAGGGACAGAATTGCATCTTGAAATTGATTTTAAAAAATAGTCAAGAAATACCTTGTTACTTTGAATGAGTTTAAATCCCCAGGTCTACTGATTTGCATCCAAGAATATTGAAGGAACTGACTGTGAGTTCAAATCCCCAGGTCTACTGATCTGCATCCAAGAATATTGAAGGAACTGACTGAGGGGATCTCAGAACCATTGGCTATACTTTTCTTGCTTTCTTCCATAATGAGTGAAGTGCTGGTTGATTGAAGGAGAGCTAACGTCGTCTCTATTTTCAAAAAGGGCAAAAAGGATGAACCTGGGAACTACAGACCGGTCAACCTGTCATGAATCCCAGGGAAAATTCTGGAGCAGATTATAAAGTAATCATTCTGCAAGTACATTGGAAACAATGCAGTAATAACAATAACCAGCATGGATTTGTCAAGAACAAATCCTGCCAGACTAATCTGATCTCATTATTTTGAACAAGTAACCTTTCTGGTAGATGGTGAAAATGTTGTAATATATCTTGACTTCAGCAAAGCCTTTGACAAAGTATCCTATGATATTCTGATTAGCAAGCTATGTAGGTGTAGACCAGATAGAACAACTGTCATGTGGATGCATGGTTGTTTACAGAATTGTACTCGGAGAGTGCTTATTAATGGCTCCTTCTCAAACTGGGAGGAAGTAACAAGTGGGATACTACATGGCTCAGTTCTGGACTTCGTGCTCCAACGTTTTTATTAATTAACTAGAAGAGGAAGTTCAGGGAATACTATTTGCAGATGACACAAAATTGGGTGGAATAGCTAATACTGTACCTTGGAAGAAAGGAACCCATTTCAAAAAGATATTGTTGGGCTCAAGCTCTGGGCTGAAAACAATAAAATGAAGTTTAACAGGGATAAGTGCAGAGTTCTACACTGGGGGTTGGGCAGCGGGGACAAATGCACAATTACAAGATGGAGATACATGGGTCAATATTACTATTACTATGAATGAGAAGGTTCTTAGAAATTTTATAGATCTTATATAATACATTTCAAAAAGATATTGTTGGGATCGAGCTCTGGGCTGAAAACAATAAAATGAAGTTTAACAGGGATAAGTGCAGAGTTCTACACTGGGGGTTGGGCAGCGGGGACAAATGCACAATTACAAGATGGAGATACATGGGTCAATATTACTATTACTATGAATGAGAAGGTTCTTAGAAATTTTATAGATCTTATATAATATGAGCCAACAGTGTGATGTGGCTGCAAGAAAGGACAATGCTATTGCATGCTGTATTAACAGAAGTAGTCACCAAATCCCATGAGGTAGTGGTCCCCCTCTATTTGGCACTGGTTAAGCCTCATATTAAGTACTGTGTCCTGTCTTGGACACTGCACTATAAGAAGGATGTCAGCAAACTGAAACAAGTTCAGAGAAGGGCAGCAAGAATGATCAGAGGACTGGAACCGAAAGGACAATGCTATTGTATGCTGTATTAACAGAAGTAGTCACCAAATCCCATGAGGTAGTGGTCCCCCTCTATTTGGCACTGGTTAAGCCTCATATTAAGTACTGTGTCCTGTCTTGGACACTGCACTATAAGAAGGATGTCAGCAAACTGAAACAAGTTCAGAGAAGGGCAGCAAGAATGATCAGAGGACTGGAACCCAAGCTGTGTGAGGAAACACTGAAAGAGCTGGGCATGTTTAGCCTTGAGAAAAGAATATTGGGGGTGGGGGGGGAAGAGATGACAGCACTTTTCAAATACTTGAAAGATGAGCCATTTGGATTATTTATTTATTTATTGGACTCTTAAACTCTCATGCAGAATTCTCGCAGTTCCAGCCCTCAGACCCACACCTATATTTCACTTAACTAGCACAGGACCTGTCTTGGAGGTTTCATGCCTGTTTTGAGCCTGCTTCCAGTTGTTAATGTACAAAAATGTTGTGGTGCTTTCTGGGCATCATAGTTTTTCAGAAAGGGCTCTGTGTAGAATGTAAAAGATAGTAAGCTTACAACTTGTAGAAAGCACCATGGGCAGCTTCCATTTTTGTACACTTACATCATGGGGTAGGCCCCAAATAGGCATGGCGTCTCCAAGACAGATCCCTCTCCTTGTGAGTGAAACAGAAGTGTCAAAGTGTCTGTAGATGTGGGTCTGTTGTCTAGAAATCCCAAAATTCTTGAAGAATCCTGGGAATTGGAGTCCAAAAAGATCTGAATAATACACCCCTTATCTTGGATGTTACTACAGAGAAACTCCCATCCCTTTCTGTTAGACTTAATACTTTGGGTTCTTGCTCATACATCTAACCATTTACTCCTGATGGAAATATATATTTAGGTTCCATCTGTCCATTTACTTATCTTTCCTTTTTAGTTAAAAGTTGGCCATGCACTTACAGGTCTGATTAAGAAGAGTGTTTCCCAACCTGGGGGCCTTGGCTCCCAAAGGGGTTGCAGAGTGTTTTCTGGATGGTCAGCTTTATATGTGTTGTAGCCCTTGTTAAATAATTTCTTCCTTGACCTTTCAGAGCACAACATTAAAGTTACCGTAGTGTTATATGTTTGTATGAGAAACAGGTCCTTTAGGGGAAGAAAGAAGCCTCTCCTTTCTGAGAAGAAATTTCTTTACCCTATAAAAATGCCTCTTTATGCAAACATTGTGAGGCAGGTCGCAGGTTACATAGCTATTGTAAAAGGGTCGTGACTTGAAAAGGGTTGGGAGCCACTGCTCTATAATATTGTGATCATTTTAATTGTTGCTCTTTTTTGTTGTGTGATCTGGTGCAGTGTGCCCTGGAGATGCGAGACTTCCTCGCAACAGTAGGAGTCACTCATTTGGAGAATGCTGGAGCTGCAAGAGGGAAAGGCCCAGTGCAACAACAGAGAGAAGCAAAGAGGAAAAAGGCAAGCAGACCAAGGGCACTGAAGAAAGCACTGGGCAGAAAGTGTTTCAGAACTGCCAGCAGAGGAACTTGACAAGAGTCGGTCAGTGTGTGCAGTAGTGTGCTTAGGATTTCTGTCAATGCATTCCAGTAACCCCAAAGTGAGAAATTCCCCATCAGGAAATGCCCAGAGGTAAGTATGGTTCAGTTTCCCTCAAAATCTATAAATAAACATGCATGAATATTTTATTTCTGCATCTAAATACTGTATGTCCTCTGTCATCAGAGCTTCGTCTAATAAATACTCTTAATTTATTAGTTGAAGCTCTGATGCTTCAACTAATAAATTAGAGCCTTGACTGCAGTACTGCTGTTTAACCACTGTGCCACAAGACTTCTAAATTAATGTACTAATCTAATAAATACTCTTAATTTATTAGTTTAGTACATTAATTTAGGAGTCTTGTGGCACAGTGGTTAAACTGCAGTACTGCAGTCAAGGCTCTACTTGCGACTTGAGTTTGATTGCTGGCTTGAGGTAGCTGGCTTGAGGTTGATTCAGTGTTCCATCCTTCCAAGGTCTTAAAATTGAGTACCCAGCTCACTTGTGGGGGGCAGGCAATGTGTAGCTTGCACAATTAAAAAAAGAAAATTGTAAACCACCCATAGAGTGCTTTAAGTGGGGCACTAGATAAGCAGAACCACTTTGCTTTGCTTTTAATTTCATTGAACTGTGTGAGAATTCAGGTGTTTGCCTGCCAGACTAAAAGAGTGGCAGGCATGTGGGTATGCATGTAAATACCACTTGGAACGTGTCTACACATTTGGAAGTACTGTACAGCATTTTGTAATGATGTTTGGCTGAACACAGTTACTAATCCCTCAACAGAGCTGTGTGTTCACTGCTTGGTGCATGTAGAGATTTAGTATACCTATGTTCCCACCAATCAATCAGTTCTTTATTTACAGTCCTTTGATCTGTCATACAGAGAAGTGGACAATCCAGATCTGTACAGTCTCTGGAATACGTAAAAACATCAAACATAGACATAAAACAAACAAGTATACAAGCAATTCAAAACCCTCCATACTAATACCAGAGTCAAGTATGAGGAAATTTCTTAGATGTCCCCACCATATGTTTGACCTGTGCACATGCAGGCTACAGCCTGAGTAGGAGTAGGGCTACAAAGAACTGAACAAGCTGGTCCTTTTCGGTGTTACTTTTTTATCAGACACCTCTGTTTCATCAAAGTTGCCATGTAGTTGCACTTTTATGTCTGAGAAAGTTGGCTTGTTCACAAACGCTGATATTAAAATACAACAGTTTTTAAGGTGCTACAATGTTTTGGGTTTTTTATTTTTTATTTTCTTTTATTTTGCTTGGTTTGATAAAATAGTCATTGAGAGGAATGACAGATTAAGTCTGTCTGTTCAACAGTGCACACAGCAATGCTACTTCAGTGCTATAGGGAAAGTAAATACCAGAGCAAAGAGGAAATGCTCCTGTGTTAAATCCCTGACTTGGTGTTTGGGGGAAAACAGTTGTTAACAGATGGACAGAAAACAGACTGTTCACAAGCTCAAGACACAAACTGAATACAGTGTGAAGAGAAATATCTTTAGAATACAAATAATGTGACTGGAAGACATTTTCCCTAGTGTGAACAAGTTTTTGAAGGAGGAAATTTGACATGACAGTGTCTTCTTTGTTTTACTGCTGGTCCTAATTTCATCATATAGGAGGACAATGCATGAGTTGCATGTTGTTGCTGATTCTAAATTTATAGCTTTTCTCAAGTGGGTCTACTTATACAGCCACTGTAATACTTTGGACTTGTATGATAATAACCTTTGAAGTGAAGAGCTTGACGGGACCCTATGGATCCTCAAGTCCAGCCCTTCTCAAAGAGGAACAGTGGGGAATTTAACCCCCAACCTCTGGCTCTGTAGCCGGAAACCTAAGCCACTGAGCTACCCACCAGACTAGCTTTTCTTATCAGAGAGGTCTCCCCTGATGTGCGATATTGCAAAATCCTCTTCGTGCAAGTTAAATGTATATGTTAGTTGTTAGATATTCATATAGATCAGCTCTGAGATTCTGGTCTTACGTATATTCTGTCCACTTGCACAAGGATGAGGCTATATCTTGTACTTTTGTAATTCGCTTTTGCTCTTACTTTCAAAGATATGTATTTGTGTGTTTCCCCACTGAAAGATACTTGACATGATTGTGACCAGTGGGCAGGTAATTTAGGATATAAGTTTAGAGTTGGGCATTAATTCAACTGTGGTACTCCAAGCAGGCTGGTCTTTCTTGGACTAACGTTTCTCTGACAGTTGATCTATTCTGTTTGAATCCAGATGGGCAGCATTGTGAACTTTATGGTGCCCTGTATGTTTACTTTGTGTTGGGCTTAGTGAGAGGCATGTTTGTGTACATAGAAACCATTGTCTTTATTGACAGAAGTCAGAGAAGTACATCCCTATGTGACTGACTGGTTCCTAAGATCTTTGTGTTTGTCGCCTTGCTCTCTTCCCTCAAAAAGTAATGCTTCCAACTGTATAGTAAAACTCAGGCATTTTTGAAATAGCAGCCAGATGACAAGCATAGTAATAAAGTAAGTTATTTGTACTTGCTATGTTCTGTGAAGAGGCTGAGTTGGTGGTAACTTGTGCAACTTGGTATTCTCTCATAGATTTTACACACATACAGTCTCTCTATATATATCTTTAACTTATTATTACAATTTTTTCTTTCTTTCATCTTTCCTTTCCAGTAGCCCCAAATCAAAGCAGGAGGTGATGGTTCGTCCCCCTACAGTGATGTCCCCATCTGGCAATCCCCAGCTGGACTCTAAATTCTCTAATCAGGGTAAACAGGGGGGCTCAACAGGCCAATCCCAGCCTTCCCCCTGTGACCCCAAGAGTGGGAGTCATACACCAAAAGTGCTCCCTGGACAAGGTGGAAGCATGGGGTTAAAGAATGGGGCCGGCAATGGTTCAAAAGGGAAAGGAAAGAGAGAGAGGAGCATTTCATCAGACTCATTTGAACAGAGAGATGCTGGCACTCCTAGTGATGAATCTGAAATCAAAGGTATGTCTATACAGGTATTTGAAGGGGCAGAAATATGGGTGGATGCCAGACCTGCTTGAGAGCCTTTGTTATTGATCCTTCTCTTGTGCATAATGTTTTGAACTTGCTCTGAATCCTAGAAACATGACAGCCTATAGTTAGTAAATTTTATAAATCACTATGACATTCTTAAGAAAGCCCTATTCAGCAGTTACTTATCTGATTCTCATCATCACTGTGCTTAAAGGGGAATTGATATTCCTTGATCATCATTTTCTCCACACAAGAAGTAATGTGTCTGAAGAAGAGAAATCTTGCTCACATGTAGGCTCTCCACATGAGCAAGAACCATGGCAAATTGTGTTTTTGCTTGCTAGTGGGGAGAGGCTACATGCAAGCAAAAGCCTCTCTTCTTCAGTCATGTTACTCTCTAGATGGAGAAAGCCATGAGGGAGAGCGAGGAGGCACTAGTTATGCCTCTCTTCAGTGTGCTGACAACCAGTGCGTAACAACTGAATAGGCTATTGAATTGAAACTGAAGAGTTAGTAAAACTAGCTAGTCTCTGCAAAAGCTTGCCACAGGGAGCACCTCTAAGTCAATCAAGTTAATCGAATGTAACTTAATTTTAGAAAAAAACCAATTTGTTTGTCTTTTAAGACTGTTTTGACTGTCATGCATAGACATAAGGCATGTTCCATGAGCCACAGCATACTGTGGCCAATCTTACTACTGTAGCTGCCTAACAGAGGCATTCTCTTCCCTTGAAAACCAAGGCTTGGTTTCCTCAACTTATGGGAAAAAACAAACTGCTAGGTTTCAAGAGAAATGTCACACTTGGAATCTCCTGAATGTCGTAACTAGCAAGGTATGCATGTATTTTATATTCTGGTGTCTACAGTGAGGAGGAATTAAAGAACCTTGTAATGAGGGGGAAAGAGGAAAGTGCAAAAAATGGCCTGAAACTCAACATCAAAAAAACTAAGATCATGGCCACTGGTCCCATCACCTCCTGGGAAATTGAAGGGGAAGATATGGAGGCAGTGACAGATTTTACTTTCTTGGGCTCCATGATCATTAAAGATGGAGACAGCAGCCCCGAAATTAAAAGACACCTGCTTCTTGGGAGGAAAGCGATGACAAACCTTGACAGCATCTTAAAAAGCAGAAACATCACCTTGCCAACAAAAGTCCAAATGGTCAAAGCTATGGTTGTTCCTGTCGTGATGTATGGAAGTGAGAGCTGGACCATAAAGAAAGCAGACCGCCGAAGAATTGATGCCTTTGAATTGTGGTGCTGGAGGAGGCTCTTGAGAGTCCCCTGGACTGCAAGGAGAACAAACCTATCAGTTCTAAAGGAAATCAACCCTGAGTGGAAGGACAGATCCTGAAGCTGAGGCTCCAGTACGTTTGCCATCTCATGAGAAGAAAAGAGTCCTTGGAAAAGACCTTGATGTTAGGAAAGTGTGACGGCAAGAGGAGAAGGGGACGACAGAGGATGAGATGGCTGGACAGTGTCTGCGAAGCAACCAACATGAACTTGACACAATTACGGGGGGCAGTGGAAGATAGGAGGGCCTGGCGTGCTCTGGTCCATGGGGTCACGAAGAGTCGGACATGACTAAACGACGACGTCTACAGGGGTTACAAAAAACATAAGGAAAAACCATTTGAAATCTGAGTCTCCTCCTGCCCTTGCAAAATTTAGTGTTTAACTTACCAGATTTGGTAAAGTGTTGTTTGTGTACAATATATCTCTGGATATTTTGTTGTGGCTGAGTTGGTACCTTAATGTGGTGTTATTCCATTAAGATCCTTGGGATAGAGTGAATTAAGTCACAACGAAGGACTATAAATTCCCTTGGAAGAACCTTATAATGAAAGAGAGTGCTTACAGAACTAAGGAGTTGTTCTTCTGTATCCTCCATGCTGGCAGAGTACACATAATCTGTTTCAGATTGGGAAGAACTAGCCCATTTGAGACACTCACCCTGCCTTCCCCATCTAGAAAAAAATTGCTGCATTGTGTATACTAACTTAATAATACCAGTTTAGTGAGCAGATGGAGATTTTTACATATGTGATCACCATCTTGCGCGTACTTGAAATGTATCTCTGTCTGAGTTGGAAAAAGCCTTCAGGTTGTCATTCTGTGTTGCTTTGGGATGCAGGTCTAATTTGTCAGTCCCAAAGGTCCTGTTCTGTTTGGCATTCATATGGAATATTCACGTTAGATTTAAGAGTATGCTGCTGGTCTCTTGGTGGTGCTATCTGTATGAATCCCATGTGCCTCTGCATGAAAGTTGTCTAAAGTAGCTAACATGATTTTATGTGTTCGCTGCCAGCATTCTCAGCTATCAGTTTCCGCACTCACACAAATAACATGTCCGCTTGAGTGCTGCTTAGCCACAAGCTTACTGGCTCCGTGCAAGCTCAAGGCACTTGGGGAAGCCATCGTCCATAGTAAACTAAGCAAAAGTATGCAATTATATCTGTTCGTTCTGGATTTTCCCAGTTGACCTTCCTCATCTTTCACTTATTTATGTTTGCCTTTCCTTTTAAATTTAAGACTTCTGGCCAGAGCTGTTTGGTATTCAACACTTTTTGTACCACCATTATCCTTTTGATAAGACTGAGCATCTATGCTAAAGTGTTCTAGTTTAGGATGAACCAGGAATCTCTTCTGTTTTTTTCTTTTAACCCTATTAAATACATTCTGTATTTTCTGTTTTGAATGATGCTACTTGCTGTGCAAAAATAGCATCAGTAGAATAAGCAAAAAAGAGGATGACAAATCCAGTGTTGACAAAAAAACTTTTTTTTTACAGAGACAGCAAGAAATCCAATGCATTTGAAGTTTTTTTAAAAAATTAAGTTTCAGCTCCTAAAGGAGTGACCTACTCCTAAACATGTCAGCTGTTTACTAGAAATGGGCTATTCATATTTATATCCCTTGGCGATAAAAATATGAATAGTGGCACCATAGCTGCCACAGAGGTCCATTTGCTCCCCCCAGAACCAGCTGGTCCACTCTCCGATTGCTGCACAGCTCTGGGGTCCTTTGTTACTATCATCGTGCCAATCTGGGAAGGAGGCCAGCTGGTGCTTTTCCATGTCTCCATGTAGCTGCCCACTTATCAGGTGGGCAGGGAGACTTCCCATCCTGTTTGCTCGCTGAAGCGGTTGGCTTCACAGGGAGGTGGGGAAACACTGGCCGGGCTCCTTCCCAGATTAGTGCAACAAAGGACCCCAGGCAAAAATAGTCCATGTCTATTGTTTACATATATCAGTGTTCTGTTCAGTTCTGCCCCCTTACTTTGTTTGAAGGTATAAAATTCAGGCAATCAGTAGCTAGTGACTCATCCTAAATTTTTTATGTTGAGTCTGGCAATTAGTACTTGAGTTGTTTATTTGCTCTGGAGGCAGTTTTCTCATTTTACATCTTACATTTTGCAGAAAAGATGCATATACCTCAAACTTAGTTAACCTGTACTGTTGATCTCTCTCTTAAATACCTTGGAAAATTAGAAGCAGACAACATCATGCACACAAAAGTTAGAACTGATAGAAAGGGAATAAATATATCAAAAGGCTGTGGTAAATCTTAAAACCAAAATGAAATGGGGGAAATACAATTAAATACACATGGCTTTCACATGGCTTAGTTACGTTCCAGTAATTAGATACCCAGCTGGAATAATAAATTGGACTCAAACGAATTAGAAGAATTGGATCAAAAAAAAAAAAAAAACACGGAATCTAATGAACATGCATCATGCACTACATCCAAAAAGTGATGTGGACAGATTATATTTGCCATGAAAAATCAGAGGGCATGGATGACTGCAAATACAGCAGGTAGTAAAGCAGGAAGAAAGAAGTGCCAAAGATTATATCAGTACAAGCAGAGAAAAATTACTTAAGGTAGTGAAAATTGAAAATATTTTGAAGACAACAGAAACAAAGGCTCAATATAAGAAATAACAACTTGAAAATAAACAGCTGGAAAAAATAAGCCACTATATGGACAAGACCTGAGAAACTGATGGAAAGCATGATAATAATTCAACATGGGCATGACTAAAACTGGGGTCAATTAAGAAAGAAACCAAAGGCTTGATTTTTGCTAAACAAGAACAAGCACTCCCAAGCAATGTGATGAAAGCTAAGATCCAAGAAATTATTGCTAACAGTAAATGTTGACTCTGCCAAGAAAAAGATGAAACTGTGTCACACCTCATCTGTGAATGTCCAGAGATTACACAAAAATATTACAAAGTTAGACATGATAGAGTGGCAAAGTTAGTGCATTGGTTATTATGTAAAAAATATAACTTGCCATCCTCCAAAAACCTGTGGGAACATCAGGTAAAGAAGGTGTCAGAAAATGAGTAAGTCAAGATCTTGTGAGATTTCTGGATCCAAATGGATAGACACCTTGAATGTAACACACCAGACATAGAACAAAGAAAGGTCTGGATCATTAACATTGCAATTCTGGGGGATGCCAAGGTTGAAAATAAAGAATTGAAAAAACTAATCAAATACAGAGACCTGGTAATCGAAATATCTCACCTCTGGAAGAAACACACTTCAGAGGTCATCGTAGTCATTGGGGCTTTGGGAACAATATCAAGAAATTTCACTCAGTACTATAAGCAGTTGCGGATCTCAGAAATCACACCACCAGAGCTACAAAAATCCAGCAATATTAGGAACAGCATACATACTGCTCCGATATTTAACAGATACTTAGCTTTTTGGTTAAAACTTGTATCTGTCATGTAATACCAGTCAGTCTTTTTTATAATTTTGATCATGCCTAGTGTTTTTCAATAAATGTATCATTCAGACATTTCTGAATTTCGGCAACCCTTTGATGGTTCCCAAAATTGGGCTTCCAGGTGTTTTTGAATATCACCTTCCATAAATCTCAGCAAATGTGGTCAGGGATTTGGGGAGTTGTAGTTAAATAATAACATGGTAGCCAGGTACAGGAATGATGCAGGGGTTATTCTAAAAGTGCTAATATAATGACAGTAAGAATGTCCATGTCTGTGTATATTGCAAAAAATATAAGCTTTGTAATGCATTAATCACCAGACTTTGAATCTACTGTTAAGTAGGGGTGGTATGAAGCTAGTTAAAGCACATTTTTAAAGTTCTCTTGTCGATGTTCATGTATAAAAGTTGTAGTAATTTATGAGTTAGTTTTACATAGGTGGGAATTTGAATATAAAATGCATCTTAATTGTGGTGTGCCTAAACCATCTGAGAAAACTGGCAAACTCTCTCAGTTTGCTTAAGGAAGAGCTTCCCATCTAGGTAGACAATGTAAGAAATTTCATTAGGTCTGTCAATGATGTGATTTCATGCACTCTTGGTGTATGTAAGTAGTATTTCAAATTGGACCTATTAGATTGGAGTCTCACCTTTGAAATGATGGAAGACTGAGAAATACCATTTTTAATATAGTATACCCTGTAGTATACTATGTTCACTTCTTAAAGCATGTGAGGTGTCCACTTCTTAGAGCTAGTGTGGTGGTTGCAGTCATTAGTAGTAACTGATGTAATAAGCACCAGCTACAGTGGTGCCTCGCATTACGACGTTAATTCATTCCAGCGAAATCGTTGTAGAACGAAAAGGTAATGCGAAATAAAAAGCCCATTGAACCCCCTTCAGTGCATTCCAATGGGCGGGAAACTCACCATCCAGTGAAGATCCTCCATAGGGCGGCCATTTTCAGTGGCTGTCTTGCGAGGAATCTGTCCCAGAAAACAGCGGGGAGCCATTTTATTTACGGGGTGGCCATTTTGAAACCGCCGATCAGCTGTCCAAAAAATCATCGTTTTGCAAAGAATCGGTTCCCGAACCAGGGAACCGATCATCGCAAAGTGAAAAACCCCTATTCAGACCATCGTTTTGCAATCGCAATTGCGATCGCAAAAAGATCGTCGTAATGCGGGGCGATCGTAAAGCGAGGCACCACTGTATCTATATAAAGATGGCCATTGGTAGGAAGCTCAGCAGGAACTATTAGCAAGAATGGAGTTTGTGCTAGTTCTTAAGGCTCCTGTGTCTTTCCTTCCAGATCTTGGCTCTGCTGATCATGCAAAATCACAAGATTCCCAGCATACAGCACACTCCATGGCACCTTCAAATGCTTCAGCCCCACGTTCTTCCACTCCTTCCCATGGTCAAGCTGCAAGTTCAGATCCAGTTAGCATGCAGAAGCCCCCATCCAAAGTGGTCTATGTCTTTTCAACGGAGATGGCTAATAAGTAAGTGAATGTTGATTCCATAAAATGTAGCTATAACTTCAGGTATAATTTACTTTGTGAGACAGAGGACATCTTTAGACAGAATGATTTTTCTACGTGGCTGTAACAGTCTCGTACCATAGTAGCGCATAGGGCTTTTTGCTAGCTGTATCTAGTGAGAAATAATAGTCAGTTGTGACTTCCTGTTCCAAGTATGCCTAGTAAAATAAATTTCTGTATCTTCATTACATCACACAGGGCAGGGTTTATTAGATACATGCTTGTCCCTACATTGTAATTGATTCCTTATGGAAAAACAACAAGTACTGCCCCTTGAGAAAAACTGAATACTTCAGGATTCCCCTCTCTGTAGGGATGAATGTGGGATAGCAAACTTGCTGCCTCCAACCAATAGCTTTTACTGATTACCAAGCCTACTTATGCACCAAATGTTTATGTGATTTGTTTTCTTTAACAAATCATGTAGGATAGACTATTTGAACATACAGTGGGCCCTCCACTTACGAACTTAATCCGTTCTGGGAGGACGTTCGTACCTCGGAAAGTTCGTAAGTCGACCTACCACTTCCCATTGAAATGCATGGGAACGGAATTAATCTGTTCCAGCATTTCAAAAAAATAAAAAATAAAATACAAAAATAAAAATAAAAAGAGCAAGTTCCATGTTGGGACTGCAAGAGAAAACACACACACACATACAAAAACCAACAAAAACATAACCCCCCCAGTCCAAGCCGACCCTCCAAAACCTACACAGAAAAGCTTTTTAAAAAAGGACTTACCAGTCCGAAGCCTGCCGGTGCTCCACTGCCTTCACGCGGCCGGGGCCAAGCGGCCAAGTGCCCGGTTAGCTCTAGCCTCCAGGTGCTCCGCTTCCTCCCTTCTTCTCTGCCTTTGGAGCTTTCAAAGGGCTTCCTCCAATGTCAGGGAAAGTCCTTTGAAACCTCTGAAGGCATGCAAGCCCTGGGAGACCTCCCTGAGGGTCCCCCCCCGCCGCCACAATGGGTGGCTTCGGAGCTCTCAAAAGGCTTAGCCCAGCGTGAAGGGGACTCACCATCGGGTGGAAGGAGGGAGCCAATTTCTCCCCAGCCAGCTTGCTTGCTTCCAAAGCCAAAAAGGCAGGGAGAAAGTGCGGGAAGTTTGAACTTCCCATGCTTTCTCCCTGCCTTTTGGGTTCGTAACCCAATCCACGTTTGCAGGTAGGGTTTACTACTTGCTATGAGATCGGGTTCGTAACCCGAAAAGTTCGCAACTAGGGCCATTCGTAAGTCAAGGGCCCACTGTACTAAAGTAATTGCAACCTGGGACTTTAAAAACATGCATGCACGAGGTGATATTCTGTTATGCTATAGCTTGTCCTTTATCACTCCATTTTCTGGGCTGCATAGTCTCAAAAACAGACTCAGAATTTTTGTGATTGGAAAACTGGTGTGTTCAATGATAACATGGCTGAATTTGTTTCCCCCCCCCCTTAGGGCTGCAGAAGCTGTACTCAAGGGGCAAGTGGAAACAATTGTGTCATTTCATATTCAAAATATCCCTAACAAGGCAGAACGAAACGCCATACCATTGGTAAGTAACTTCATATGTAGACTAGGGTGAGGAGGGCACTGCAAGTGGCTTGGATGAGAGTTCTGTTATTCTGAAGATGGACTGCATCTTCAGGTGTTAAACAGCATCAGTCCATGGTGACCTCACAGTTGAGCTTTTTCTTACAATCTGTGTTCCTCTAAACTAGAACCATCTGAAGGTGCTTTTGTCTTTTCGTTTATGCAGAATACGCAGATCCCACCACTTCGGATTGATACAAAGCCTCAAGCTCCATCACAGCTGCCTACTTCCCAAGAGCAGACTCCTCCCCAGAATGCCAAAATGCAGCAGACTCCACCCATTCCAGTGTCAGCACCAGCATCCAAACCGACTGGCCCTCCTTGTCCTATTGATCAGGACAATCCTGGCTTAGAAAATAAAGTTACGTCTGCAGGAAGTCCCACAAACTCTACTCCACTGCAGGCAGAGGGATTTGGACAAACGTCAACCCCCAATAATCGAGCAGTCAGTCCTGTCTCCCAGGGGAGTAATAGTTCTACTGCAGACCCCAAAGGTCCCAACCAGCAGGTATCTGGAGGGGACCCACAAAACATGGGTGAAAATCCAGATGGACTCTCCCAAGAACAGCTGGAGCACAGAGAACGTTCACTGCAGACCCTACGAGATATTCAGCGTATGCTTTTCCCAGATGAGAAGGAGTTTGCTGGAGGCCAGACTGGGGGCCCTCAGCCAAATTCTGGAACACTGGATGGTCCCCAAAAGAAACCTGAAGGGCCAATACAGGCCATGATGGCTCAATCCCAAAGCTTAGGTAAAGGGCCAGGATCCCGGACAGAAGTAGGGGCTCCCTTTGGCCCCCAGGGGCACAGGGATATGCCATTCTCACCAGATGATGTTGGGCCACAGTCTATAAACTCTCAGTCTGGTCCTATAGGCCCAGACCATCGGGATCACATGACCCCTGAGCAGGTGGCATGGCTGAAACTGCAGCAGGAGTTCTATGAGGAGAAGAGGAGAAAACAAGAACAAGTTGTGCAGCAGTGTTCTTTACAGGACATGATGGTTCACCAGCATGGGCCTCGAGGTCTAGTCAGAGGCCCCCCACCTCCTTACCAGATGACCCCAGGTGAAGGGTGGGGGCCTGGGGGTCCAGAGCCCTTTTCTGAAAGTATGGCAATGCCCCATTCACTGCCCCCAAGGGGCATGGCCCCCCATCCCAATGTCCCTAGCAGCCAGATGAGGCTACCTGGGTTTGCTGGAATGATAAACCCTGACTTAGAGGGTCCCAATGTCCAAAACACCACACCTAGACCTGGGCTTTCAGGTGTCCCCTGGCCAGAAGATGTGCCAAAAATTTCAGATGGCCGAAACTTCCCCCCTGGGCAAGGTGTCTTCAGTGGCCCTGGCCGAGGAGAAAGGTTTCCAAACCCCCAGGGCTTGCCTGAGGATATATTTCAGCAGCAGTTAGCTGAAAAACAGCTAGGACTTCCCCCTGGCATGAGCATAGAAGGCATCAGGCCTGGCATGGAGATGAACCGAATGATTCCCCCTCAGAGACACATGGAGCCTGGCAATAACCCTATCTTCCCACGTATGCCGGTTGACGGATCCATGAGCCCATCTAGGGGAGACTTCCCAAAAGGGATGCCACCCCAAATGGTAGCTGGTAGGGAGCTAGAATTTGGGATGGGCCCTGGTAGCATGAAGGGGGATGTGAATCTGAATGTCAGCATGAGTTCCAATCCACCAATGATACCTCAAAAAATGAGGGAAGCTGGAGTGGGCCCAGAGGAAATGATGAAAATGCGCCCAGGTGTCTCAGAAATGCATCCCTCTCAGCAGAAAATGGTGCCCTTGCCGTTTGGTGAACATCCCCAACAGGACTATGGAATGGGCCCTCGACCTTTCCATCCTATGCCTCAGGGCCCAGGTGTTGGTCTCCGGAACCACAGAGAGCAAATAGGGCCTGACCAAAGGACTAACAACCGACTTAGCCACATGCCACCACTACCTCTGAACCCCTCCAGCAACCCGAACAGCCTCAACACTGCTCCTTCTGGTCAGCGCAACCTTGGACGCAAACCCTTGGATGTCTCTGTTGGTACCAGCCAGGTTCATTCTCCGGGCATAAACCCTCTGAAGTCCCCCACCATGCGGCAGGTCCAATCTCCTATGCTTGGTTCTCCTTCTGGGAACCTCAAGTCTCCCCAGACGCCATCCCAGCTAGCAGGAATCCTGGCAGGCCCGACTGCAGCAGCAGCGGCAGCTTCAATCAAATCCCCTCCTGTGATGGGTTCTGCCGCCGCTTCTCCTGTCCATCTCAAGTCTCCGTCCCTGCCTGCACCTTCTCCTGGATGGACTTCATCTCCAAAGCCCCCCTTACAGAGTCCCGGAATCCCCCCCAACCACAAAACATCTCTTGCCATGTCTTCACCAGCCATGATGGGGAACGCAGAATCAGGTCAGCATATTTTCTCCCTGATTCCCTGTCTTTCTGGTTAGTAAGATTGGGAGTTTTCACTTTCCAAATGTCTTTGTTCAGCACTTCTTTCAGCAGCCCGATGTACAGAAATTGAATAGATCCTCTGTTTCTGTTGGCTAGAGAAATTGGGGCAAAACTCCATTCTATGGAGAATTTATGTTTATGAAGGGGAGTGGGGGCTGCTATTAAAGTCATGCGAATGGAATTGCTAAATGAAGCCTGTTGACAAATAGGTATCTTAACCTTAAAAGAGATACGTGAACAAGTTAAGATGATAAATCTCACTGATTCCTTGCATATAGGTGAAGCTAGTGGATCCTAGCTAATTGTTACTCAGAACTGTGGAGCAGTGGGGGCAAAAGGTAGAAGAATATTTCTGTCTAATTCTGATCAAAGATAAGAGTATTACTATTCATCACAGAAAGGTGTTGCTCTTTCCATATTGCATGCTGATTCCTGGGCGCGGGGGGGGGTGTACTGTACAGAGTGCTCTGTAAATTCTTGGAATAAGGAAAATTGTAATGGGGGGAAAATTAGAATGTTCTCACCAGTCAGTTTTGACAGTAAACTGCATTTGGTAAACACAGTGGCTTGTTTGGCTTTATACATTTTTCTTTTTCTTGTGAAGAAGTTGGTTTAATACTGAAGCAACTATTTGGCTCTATTGTGAATTATTAGGCAAATATCTATTGCATTCTTCATGGGTTTTGCTATTCCATAAAATGTCTCCCCTCCCCAAGTGTTGTTTGCCTGGCATAATTGCAAGTCCCAGTTAATCTTTTAGATTTATAGCTCAGAGGCAACTGACTTTTCTCAGCCTGCAAGATTTTAATAAAGCTAGTCCCCAGCGTAGAGAGTTTGCATGCAGTTGTTTGATGGTGCCAGCTTTCTGAGAGCTTCAGTCAATGAAATCCCATTATGCCAGAAATTAGGAAGGCAACTAAGTCAGCTGTTTAGCTATATTGCCCTCTAGCGCTTCAGAGTGGTCATTGCAATGAAATTGTAGGCGTGCCTAATTTTGACAGTTGAATTCTTTTGTAATTGACTCTAAAGAAGGCTGCCAAGCAGACAGACGTTCAAGCCTTATTGGGGGGGGGGGGG